CTAGATTGGATACAACAGTTATAATAGTTATAATAGTTCTCAGTTCTGTTTTTACTTACCTGGGTTAAATAGTTCTGGGTTTTTCCACTCTTTTTCATCATGGTGCAAAGACCACAGATTGACGATGACTCGTGTCCCTTTCTGTACAGTGTACTCTCCTATACTGTAACACAGCAGACAGGATTAGAGATATACGCATGTCTAAACGATGTCTAAGTGGCAACATGTTTCACCTGTTTTAATGTGAGTACAAAGTGATGTGGAATTACTTAGCGTCTGAGAGAGCTACGTGAGGGATGAGAAGTGGTGAGACTGGCCGGATTCGGAGCACTTCTCTGATGGTGGCCTCCAGGTAGGGCAGATTTCTTCTGTCATTAACCTGGGGGTGCCGATCCCTCCCAATCTTAGTGTCCAACTCCTCCTGAATCTTTCTCTGAACCTAGAAACCATACAAAGAGAACAGGCTGCTTATATAATAAATCACTTTCCCACTGGCATCTGTGTGGTGCATGATGGATCATCACCATGGGGTCGTCCAGCTATATTAGTAATGGTTGAAAGGAGATATTGACTAGAATAGTGCTGTGCATTTTTAAAATCATTGTTATTTTAAATTTCATAACTAATTAGACATGATAACCAATTACCTGTGGATGATGTACAAGATAAAGAATGGACCACTTCAGCACAGTGGTTGTAGTCTCCACCCCAGCGCCAAAAATATCCCCTACGGTCATGAGTAGATGATCATCAGTAAGCCCAACAACCTGAGTGCTTGTGTTGTTATTCTCCGAGCTGTGTTTGGCACGCAGTAGAGCATCCAACAGGTCTCGCTGGATGTTATCGCTAAAGTCTGCCTGCAGATGGAGACATCTCATGTAAAGTAAAGTGAATACGCCAGAAAGTGAATAAAAGATATGTGCAGACAGCTGTACTTTACCTTGTGTTCATCATATTTCTTTTGAAGCAGTTTGTCTCTAATGGAGACACAACACTTTAGAATTCTGAGGTCTTCATTTGGAAAGAACTACACAGAAAACAAGGATTGGTTTATAGATATTCGGATGCGAAGTGTATTGTATATGCAATGGTGTGTTACATTTTGAGAGAAAGGCTCACCTGGAGCCACGGAAAGATATCCACCAAACTATCCTTGGCAACTGTATCCACAATTCCCTGGCTGTACTGGAGCATAGCTTCAAACTCAGGATCTCCACGTTTATATGAGGAGCTAAAACAGAGGGTACATACTACGTTTGTGACAGCACGGGTCAGCTCCGGCGCCAGGTCTACTGCAGAGCTCTGCAGGCTGGTCAGGATTTCACACATAGAACTCGCCTCTCGGCAAACTAGGAGGAATGAGAAGAAAGATGATGAGTGTTACAACTTATACATACTTCTCAAGAATATCACCATGTCCTTAGAATGTGGAGTGAAGGGATTGTTAGCTATAGAGTTTTACTATATCAGATGTTTATATGTTTTTCACTTACTTATTTTCTCGATAGATGCAGTTCCCTCTCCAAACATGCACAGAGCCCCATGTACAATTTTTCGATGAAACTTCCATGTGGGACTATAGTCAGCAAATGCTATGTCTTTCCCATCTCGTGTTAAGATGTCTGTAGTAACCTTGAAAAGAGAAATTTAAAAAATGTCTTTTTGTCTGGTTGCCCATCCCTGTAAAACTCTCCACCTTGTTCAGAAACAACATAATGGTACGAATTTTTTGCTAGGGATCTCAGACTGATAAAGGTTACTTACAGTGCGTGGTCTTCCTGCAAATATTTTCCCTTTCTTAAGCAGGACCTCTTTTGCATGGAGATGATTGTTGACGATGATAACTTTATGAGAGCCCATCATAAGTGAATAAATACCTCCATATTTCTTCTGCAGCTGCTGAAAGAAAATATGCGGAGGGCTGTCGCTCCTTAGGCTCAGAAGACTCCCGATAATTGGGAGAGAAGGAAGGTTTGGAGGAGCTCTATCATCTATCAGAAAGGCATGGATTTTCCTCAGATAAAAGGCCACTATGATTACAGCAGCAAATACACAGAAACAAATAAGCCAAGCCATCCCTGGGTATTCAGTAATTTCAATCAGTCCTACATCAAGAAGTACACTGGCACTCCACAGGCTGTGAGGAAGCTTACAAGTGTATTTTATATGCCTTCTTCAATGTCACCTCCTTGAACTCTGAATATTTTCACCTCAGCTATCTTTAACAGTCAATGTCAGTTTAAACTTGAAAGAATGGCAATAGTGCAAAACGTGCAAAACACTTTAACAAACCAAATATGCAAAAGCAATTAAAAAAAGCAACAGCAAACAGAAAAACACAACAGCAAATAGAAAAATGCAAACAGCAAAACCACAAAAAAAACAGCAAAACCAAAAACAACAGAAAAAAAAACAAAAACAACAGCAAAACCAAATACACAGCAGCAAAACCAAAAACACAACTGAAAAAAACCCCCAAAACAACAGCAAAACCAAATACACAACAGCAAAACCCAAAACACAGCAGCAAAACCAAAAACACAACTGAAAAAAAAAACACAACAGCAAAACCCAAAACACAACAGCAAAACCAACAGCAAAACCAAAAACACAACTGAAAAAAAAAAACAAAAACACAACAGCAAAATCAAAAGCACAACAGAAAAACCAAAAACACAACTGAAAAAAAAAAAACAACAAAAACACAACAGCAAAATCAAAAACACAGCAGGATTTATTTTACTATTAAAACAAACGGAAAGGGCGGGGCCTTATTGAACATCACGTGCTCGTTTCTGATTGGACACAGGGTATGACTCTCAGTTCAATTCAATTCAATTTATTTGTATAGCGCTTTTAACAATGAACATTGTCTCAAAGCAGCTTTACAGAACATAAGAAACAAAAAACATGCAAACAGAAACAAAAACATGCAAACAGTCCTAGATGTTAGACAAAATTATCCCTAGTGAGCAAGCCTGAGGCGACAGTGAAAAGGAATACGCTTTTTCATATGCTGTTATCTTAGCCTAGCGAAAACTGTTGAATGATTTAAGTTATTTTCTTTTGTTTCACAAACTGAATTATTTTGCCCTTACTGTGGCAAAGTTGTGAAGCCGTTCCAAGCTTCACTGCGGTTAAGCCAGCCGCTCTTCCTGAAACCACGGTTAATAGCCGCACGTAAATTTAATGGGCGCGGCTTTTAGACACTTAGCGGTAATAGCTCCGAATTCGGAACACTAACGTCCGCGAGCTTCTACACAATCAAAACAACTCAACTTTCTACAAAACGATAATGTTAAATACATCAGTAACAAAACAAACACACAACAGTTCACAGTATCTGTGAATATACAGGCTAAAAGTTTAAACTGTCCATTTTCTAATGAATCAAAATAGCCGACTGGTTCAGTTATACTGACAGATCCAGTGATTTAGAATTGCAATTAGCTACTTTAACATTCTACAGTAAAATGAGTTCATCTGTGTTGTGAGCATGGAGCAGGTCACTTTCAGCTGATGGTGGGGTTTAGATTTGAAATGTCTCCTTTACTTCAGCAGTAAGATGAAGTAAAATATTAATATTAATATTTTGGTGTCAGAGGCTTCGTCTGTGAAATTAAGCATCTACACTTTTTAAAATGTATATAGGTAAATCAGTGCTTTCATTTATAATAATAATAATAATAATAATAATAATAATAATAATAAAGCTTCTTAAATGTAGTTTTTTTATTATTATTTACTTTTATTTGGCTTAATGGTTTATAGTCTCTTTAAACTTGATCGATTTTACCCATTTCTTAAATGTAAAAGCGTAAATATAAAAACTTGTATAAAGCCTGTATAATCACATATACTTGTTATGTGTTTGTTTTGTTACTGATTTATTTGGCATTACAATTTTGTAGAAAGTTGAGTTGTTTTGATTGTGTAGGAGCTCGCGGACGCTCCTTTTCCACTTTCGGCGCTATTACCGCTAAGCGTCTAAAAGCCGCGCCCATTAAATTTACGTGCGGCTATTAATTAACCGCGGTTTCAGGAAGAGCGGCTGTTTAACTGCAGTGACGCTTGGAATGACTGAAAAAGCGAAGTTCCTCTTCACTGTGATAGTCATTCCCAGTGTCCAATCAGAAACGAGCACGTGCTGTTCAATAAGAACCTGCCCTTTCCGTTTTGAGTTGTGTAGGGATGGGCGAGACCACTTGTTTTCCTGATCCAATACCGAGTAGTTTCACGTCTAGTATCGTGGATACCGATACCGATACTTCTTTGTTTTGTGTGTGATTTTATAGTCCATAGTGTATTTTTGCAATCCATCATTATTAATATTAAATAAACTACAATGGGTTGGACTGTCACTTTTAATACTTTTAACAAAATATTACACGTCACACAAACCATATTCAAACTATTTATAATTGTCACATAATGTTTCTGCATTCCTTCCCCTTCGTAGGTTTTTGTGAAGGAACAAGAGAATGTTGACATTTTTCTCTTTCATTTGGCTGGAGGTCCCTCACAATCATCTCTCTTAGGCTTATTGTAATTTCTAATGCTCTCTGTGAGTCATCTATAAAATATAATACATATGTATGTCTTAAAAGCTGTCCTAAAGTTAGATAAGAGTTTACCTTCCTCCAGCTGCTCCCTGTTAGGGGTCACCACAGTAGATCCTCCATCTCCATTATGGAAATCCAGTTTATGATCCACATATTTGATTTGGCACAGTTTTACACCAGGTACCCTTCCTGACACACCCCTCCCATGTTTGTAACCAGGCTTGGGACTGGCACTGAGAGTTCAGGACTTCATACAACCCCAGTAGCTGGGTTTGGTGCCCAATGGGGGGCTCAAACCCACAGCCCTGGATTAAGAGTATTCATAATTTACCAACTGAGCTAGCCAGGTGCCAGGGAGATAAGAATTTATAATGGCAATAAAACTCTCTACCAGGTATTTCTTGACATTTAAACTGTGTAAGTTATTTAACAGTTAGGTCCCTAGAGGACTAGTGGTTAGGCCACGGCGCTCTCACTGCCTCGGACCAGGTTCGATTCCCAGCCAGGGAACCAACCCCCGCCACTGGGGTTGCACACAACAGTGCTGGTTCCAAGCCCTGATAAAACTGCAGAGGGTTGTGTCAGGAAGGGCATCTGGCATAAAAACTGTGCCAAATCAAATATGTGGACCAGTGATCTGCTGTGGCAACCCCTAACAGTAGCAGACAAAACAACAACCAATTTATTTAATAAATAATTTTTAAATGATGTATAAATAAATAATATAATATATAAATTATTTCATTAAGAATATCCTCCATTAGATACCAGGTGACAGACAAATAGACAAAGGCTAATGCAAAATGTATAAAATGTATTGATAAAAATCCTACTGTTTAAATTAAAATGTCTAAACCTTTATACTCATATACAGCATCTTATTACTGCAATATTCTGCTCCTCATGAAATATCTAATATCTTCATTTTTTAAATTCAAATAATTCAAATATCTAAAAATCGAATATCACCACTTGGTACCTGGATGATGTCTGCCTCTCTGAAAGGATTCTGGTAAGGAACTCTGCCTCATGCCTGAAGATCGACAGAGGGTTGTGTCTGTGTTACCTCCTCTGTTCGCCTCACACTCAGCTGTACTTCATTGTGCTCTTTAGGGTGTTTCACTTTTAGATGCTTCATCATATTTGTGGTATTGCCACAATGGTGTATTGTTTTTTGACAAATGTCACATGTAGCTTCATCATCTTTAAGTGGAGTGTAATAACTCCAGATGATGCTTCTTTTTCTGTCAGCCATGACCTCAGACATGCACTCACATCCTGCTTTAAACCTGCGCTGAGTGCACTGTGACTGAGTGAGTTTATAGTGCAGGACAAATCACAGGTTTATATGAATTCACTTGTTCTAATATGGTACCTTTTCTATAGTAATATGGTTCTAATATGGTACCTTTTCTATTCACAAGGCGTTGTATGGCAGATGCGCCACATAATCTAAGACTAATAATAAATGTGTTGTTATTTTATTAAATATTGTTATTTAAACATATAGCTGTTGATATGAGTCTCAGGTGTCAGTGCTTTGTAATGCCAGTAAGTTTTCCACTTACTCCTCAGGACAGAGGACTTAATTTCAAGAGGGAAAGAATGAGAGGCTGCTGAGTGAAAGACTGTTTATAGCTGTTATAACATAAGTGATAACAGGAACTCGCAGATGTTCCATAACATTAAACATAACTATAAATGGTTTAAAAACATGACATGTCTTTTATTAATAAATAAAAAATTGTAATTGTTGTATTGCTGTTGCAAATTGCCGTTGTATAAAAGGAATCAAACACTTCATGGTGTGCTGTTATTTGATTAAATTTGATAACATGCCCCATCATATTTTATTACTTACATAGTGTGTACTGTACAATGACATTATATACCTGCTCCATCTTCTCCATATTGAGATCAAATTGCTTGCAAACAATCAAGAACATTACTTTAAGGATTTTGATCATTAATGTTGCCTAATTGGTTGATTTTTGTCTTGAACAATATCAACATTTCAGAACACGGACAGTTTGCACTTCTTTTTGTGTGGTTTGAACCAGTACTGAAAAATCCAGCTTAGTCTGACTGGCTAGCAGATGCCAAAACACAGGTGGAGCTGGCAAAGCTGGTAGACCATCTTATAGCATCTTATAGCATCTTATTCAGCAGTTTCTGAATTACCGATACTAATGCTACATTGTAGGCAAGTTATTTTTAAGAAAATCACACAATAATGAGGAGATTCGAAAATCTTAAACATTTATTCATCGATTTAGTTTGATTTAGGAAGCTTAAAAATAACATCTAGCAAAGATGCTCTACCAGACGCCTGTGTTTTGGTAGCTGGTCAAACCAAGGTGGATTTTCCAGCAGGTCTCCCAAATATACATTCATTTTCTAACATTTCAGGGAGTGTTGACTGTCCTTCTAATAAACACTTTTACAATGTGTTGGAATAATACTATTTACACTATGGTAACTGATGTTAGATGGGATCCAGGCTTTAGATTGGCGCAGGGTGTTTTGTTCTCACGTCATTGGTTAAAACAGACAAATGCAATTGACTTTGACATTGACTTTGCGAAAGGAGCTGCTGCTGATTGAAAATTTGACAACAGCATAATCACACCATGCTTTAATCAACATATCAACATAATTGCGTCAACATAATTTAAAGGCCCCTCAAATTGACTTCTACCTGATCAATCCCACCGCATTAAAACACAGCACTAGACTGCACAGTCTGTTTCCTCAGCGGAAAATCTCTTCTGGTTCAGATGACTTTGGCCATGGTGAGACGATTTACCATGCTGGTACAAATCGGGGCAAATGCTTTATTAATGATGTGCAATAGGTAGCTATTAATAATGCATTGTAATACTTTATATAAGCACATGCTTTATAATGGTTCTGTACCTAGTCCATTGAACCTGTTTTTGCACTAACATCTACTGAACTAGAGCTTGTTTCTAGTAATCCCACAGCATTAATAAAGCACTATATTTTATGTAGATTTCAGTTTTATTCTTCTGTAGTTGTGACTGGGCAGGACAGTGGCACAGCGAGTAGCGTTGCCACCTCACGGTTTCATTGGTCTGCAGTTCAATCCTGAGTGTGAGGCTTTTCTACCCGTGTTTGTGTGGGTTTCCTCTGGGTTCTCCAGTTTCCTCCCACTGACATGCAGATAGACAGATTAACTATGCTAGGTGTGGACGAGTGTGTGTGTACACAGTGCCCTGTGATGGACTGGCTTCTCATCCAGGATGAATTCTTGATGAATTCTGCCTTGCTCCCAGTGTCACTTGGTTAGGTTCTGGATCAACCACAGCTAGTAAACTGACTTTCTTAAAATGGACCTATAGTCTCATTGACATCTATTTTCATTATTATGGGAGTTTTATTCCTAGACTCTTAATAGTCAACGCTTCTGGTGCAGAATGATCAGCCAGTGACGCATCAGGGTAAATAAGTCACGCCCCCTCATTAGCATATAAACAGTGAGGAGATTAGGAATCGTGTGTTCAGCATGTGCTGGAATCGATAAAATAGGAAAAGTGGGAGGTTAAAAAAGTACATTCAACGAAAAAAGGGAATATATTTATAATATATTTTATAGCAATATAGTTATATTTAACGGTTAAACAATAAAAATAGTTTTTATTTTAACTCACTAAATTAACACTATAATGCATTTTTGTGTTTTCTATTTTTGCATTTTTATATTTATATTGTTATATTTTATTTTTTATAGATAGCGTATTAATGTACGAAATGTAGTTGTGGAGGATTTCATAATAGTGTTTTGTTTATGGATTTCATAATAGAGTGTTTAGCAGTTTTGTCCGTTTTGTCCCTCGAGTTGTTCCGTAGTTTTCAGTCATGGCTTCCTCAGAGCCGCAGCCTCGGTTTGGTCAGTCTGTTAAAAGTTTGTTATCTGATAAAGTCGGTTCATGCAGTGGAGATGTGATTGCTCTTACACGCCAGGTATTAAAGGGATCTCGTAGCCAAGAGGTAACTGTTAAAACTGTTAAAATGCGGTGTGTTTTTCTTAGCTAGCTTGCCAATTAGCTTACTCTGGTCGTAGACGTAGCTAGCACTAGATTAGCATGCGATAGCTTTTGAGATTAGAGCCTAAAACATGAACAAAAATATGATTTGCATTAAAAGTTAATTTCTAATAGGAAAATATATGCGGTGAATGTAACATTAAGCTAAAATGTAAATGGAACAGTTAGCTCATTTATAACAAATTAGTTACTGGTTAATTCACACACCTTTTCTGTAAAGCTGTTTTGTGACCCTGACCGTTCAAATACAAATAAAACTGAACTGAATTTTAATCTTGTTATTGTGTCCCATCTGCTGGGATTTTGCAGTTGCTCGGTCAGGCAGCAAGAAATATGGTTATCCAAGAAGATGCCATTCTACACTCTGAGGATGTAAGCACTATTATTTCTTCATTTATTTTTCTTCATTTTGGTAAATAACCAATGAATTCACAAGTGTGTATAAAAGTGCTTCCTTAAATTCATGACGTTTCTGTCAGATGGAGGTGAACACGTTTGAGGAAATGTTTTTGTGTTACAGAGTCTAAGGAAAATGTCTATAATAACTACTCATTTGCAGTATCAGTGAGTATAACGACACTGCTACTAATCTAGATTTATTCTGTAGACAATCTGATTGCAGACACTGTATTTAAAATACAGCTCAAGTCTCAACAATCATGCCTATCTTGTCTTCTTTCCTTTAGGCAAGAAGCCATCCAAAAGAAGTAAGTCAAAACAGAAATACTGTTGACGGTTGTTATGGTGGCTTCATCTGTCATTTAATGTCAAAACAAGCAGTGATGATATCTGTCTGTCCTTTATCCTCTTAACAGTGTGGAGCACTCCAGAAACCTTCAGGACCAGCTTAGACACTTGTTAAAATAATGTGCCAGCAAGCTATGCTGTTGACATGTTCAACTTGGACTTTGCGTGGTTCCTCACACCATGTGCAGGAGGTTGCACTCCAAACACGCACATGTGCTTTGATTGCCCTCTCAATAACCCTCATGTCCTTGAGGTAACATTTCATGTGTAGGATTGACTTGTCTGTTTTTTTGTTTAATTTCTTAACCAACATTCAGTTAAATTAGATCATACTGTTTTTTTTTATTATTTATGAAAAACTGGGTAGTGTCAGTGTTAAATGAGCCTGCTTTTGAAAACAAGAAAAGCATAAACAACAGTTTACCACAGATTTATGTTAATTTATTGTCTTTTTTTATTTTAATGAATAAATTTGTCTTTGTATAAACATTGTTATAGATTTGAGTGAAATGACATGTTCTCTGCAGGAATGCCAGTAGAATGTGTAATAAAGCCACCCACGTGTAATATCAGTAGCATTTCACAAGGTCAAACAGATGTCTGTCCTAGAGCATAGCCTTGATCATTACTCCCAGAAAGCTTTGGATTACACTTCAGGGTTTTCACTTATCTCTGCAAGCTGTGTGCACAAGCATT